TGGAGCAAGTAACGATTTTTTTTTTATTATCGTTTTGATCAGCATACTTATATATATTTTATTACTGACCAATAAGCATACAGTATAGTATCGGGTATTCGATTCGGACCCCTATGTGGATCTGAATTCGACGGATCTTATAAATCACAGATCCGGATCTGATCCGATAGGTCAGATCTGATTCAGATTCGGATCTTCGGATTGGATCTGCGGAACACTACTAAAACCTAAAATAATTTCATTGGTATATATATCTAAATCACAACCATAAGATTACGAGTTCAAGTTTACTGAGTGCAAATGGCTCTGCTAGGATCATGATTGGCTAAGATCTTCAAAGGATTTTCATTAAAAATTGAAGAACAAGATTCATACCAGTTGCAATTTGCTGGTGTAGCTATGGGTCCAAAAACAACCAGATAAGACATAATCCATCAACAAATAATGCTAAAATTAAAAAAAAACCAGCTTAAAGATTACTAAAATCAAGGATATCAAATATAAAAGAACAATCTTACTTGTGAATCATGTGAAGTTAGGAAACTGTGGATCTAGAAAATGTAGATCCTATACTGTAGCACTAGAGACTTAAGATATCATATGATATACTTAATGAAGTATGAGTTATCTCGCCAGTATGATGACATATAGGTGACTAATTTGTTATACTGATGATCTTTACAGATACAAAACTCTGGCCTTTGAAAGATATGAAAGATCCAAAGGTATCTAAGAACCTTAGAGATACAGAGAAAAATAAAAAAAAAAATTTAGGCTATAAAAATCTGAAATATTTACATATTATTATTAAAGGTCTCAGCATAGTTTTATAACTATATTATTTGCAAGTTACAAAATTGAATTTGCTTTACTAAAGTGAAAATTATAATGTTTTAAAGATATGCAACTGTTATTTGCACCTTCTTGTAAATCAAAATTTTAACTTTAAATGAAGATACCTTGAAAATTATCAAACAAAATTTGATGACCTTTTTTTATTTGAATTCACAATGTAGAATTTCAATTCATAAAATTTGACTTGGTGGTTGTCAAGATACCTTTGCTCAAAGCTGAGAAAAATTTGGCACATCTTTTATTTTGAGATGTTTTTTCTAAAAACTTTGAGTGAAGGTATCTTGACAACCATCAAGTCAAATTCGATGAACCATTTTTTTATTTGAATTCTATGAATTCATAGAATTCAAATAAAAAGAAGTTCATCAAATTTGACTTTGAGATACTTTCGCTCAAAGTTTTTAGAAAAAACGTCTATCAAAATAAAAGCTGCGCCAAAATTTTCTCAACTTTGAGCGAAGGTATTTCGACAACAAATTTGGTGAACTTTATTTAAATTCTACAAAATTGTAGAATTCAAGCTTATCAAATTTTGTTTGAAAATTTTCAAGGTATCTTCGTTCAAAATTATAAAAATTATAAAAAAACTTTGGGATGCAAATAACAGCTGCCTATCTTTAAAACGTTACCGTATATCGCTGCATATAGTACCCCGGGTACTTTTCAAGAAAGCCGGCCTAGATTGAATAATACCCCCAAATATTGAGAGATGAAGGATAATTCAAATAATCGTTACTGGTCAATGTATACCTTGCTATTAGACGTTCGTGCTTTTAATTATGAAATTGGGTCACAAATCGCTTGTCAAAAAATGGGGGATGGTACTATATGCGGTATAACTCCCGCTCTAGCAAAGCAAATTAAATTCTGTAACTTGCAAACGATATATGAATAATATAGTTATAAAACTATGTTGAGACATTTAATCATAATATGTGAATATTTCGGGTTTCTATAGCTTAAACTTTTAAACTGTTAATATTTTACTATTTAAATTCGTAAATAAAAATATTTGGTTTTTTAACTATATTAATAAAATGAATTAAAAAAATGTCTCAACATATTTAAAACTATATCATTCATAAGTTATATCATTTACAATTTACAGAATTGAATTTGCTTTATTAGACAGGAGTTATAACGTTTTGAAGATACGCGATTTATAATAAATTACTATCCGCTATGGTGAATTTTTTTCCAATAAAATGATCGATGTGACACAGATTCACGTAATCAAATTGCTTTTTCGATCAAATTCGGCCGAAATTTCAAAAACTTTCGATATGACCATAGCAGTCTTCCTTACTGGGAAGTTGGGCAATTATGCAATATCACGTGGTTTATTAAAGCAACATAACGATAACCAATAAAGCCCGAAGCCAAACCTTATAGCTTGTAGCGGACCAGAGTATGAACATGTTAAGATCAAACTCAAACAACTCCAAATCGTCAGATAGAGTAGCTTTATTTTCGAATAGTAATAACGATACTACTTCGTCTTCTTTAGGAAGAAAAGTAAAACATGAAGCTGACGCACCAAGTCAATTTGAACAACAAAATGATTATCGATTAGATGAGTTGAATTCAAAACTTTCGGCTTTGCATAAAGTAATAGCTTTTAATCCTGCCTTTTTTTTTTTTTTTGACAAACTGTTAATATATGTATATTCATTGAATAGATCACGGTTGATATTCACGACGAAGTTAATGACCAAGTAAATTTACTTGACGATACGGTTGTATTATAGCTATTGTCTCATTTGTGTATTATAGTTTTATCATCACGGAAAACTAATAGTAATACTTGATGATTTTTTCAAAAATAGGGTAATACATTTACATCGTTTAGAGGATCTTTTACAAATACATTTACTCGGCTGAGGCATATGACATCAATAAGGCATAGACAGCACATATGTTATTTGGTTGCGTTCATTGTTGGAATTTTTTTCTTACTTTATTCTGCGCGGGGATACTTGTGGAATTATTGATTTGTTACATGATTTTTTAAGATCTCAAAACAAGCCAAATCTCAAACTCAAGGAATCTATTATATATATTTACTGATAGATATTGTAAAAAATTAATCCCATAATTGAATACTCATCGTTATAGAATTTTCTTAGATATATTTTAAATATATTAGCGTAAAAAAATTAATGCGTAATATTAATATGAAAGAATTAACTGTCAAATATCATGTTCTTTTATCTAGTGCTTGGAATTGGCCCGCAGAACTTGCGACTGCAATTAATTTTAAAATCTCTGCTACTTAAGGGTTATAAATTTTAACCCACGCAAGGATTTAATAATTTACATATGCATATAGTGGAGTTGCGTAAACCTAGTATATCTTTCGCACATTATATGATCTCGCGCGAAATGTGAGATGGCCTCATACGGGACGAAATTTGAGTTTAGCAGATTGCAAGTTTTAGTGATAACTCCGTTTTTACTTTTTTAAAAAGGAATTTATCTCATTAATTATCAAACGTTCGATAAATTACTGATCACTAAGATTTCTTTATTTTGCTCACCGTATAATTAATTCACGCGAGGACGATAACAGCATTTCGCGCGTGGTCACATTTCTCGTATGTATATATGGGCAGTGTTGTACATGGGACAGTTGGGACATGAGTTGGGACATTTTGGGACATTTTGGGACAATTTTTTAAATTAAATTTACTCAAAATTTTAATAAGACAATCTACTTTAATTTTTTTAAAAACATGCTCAGCACTTAAAAAAATATATAATTATATAGTTTTTAAATTAATTTAGTAATTATTAAGATCTAGGGACAGTTGGGACACTTTGGGACATTGGGACGTTGGGACGTTGGGACACAGCAAAAAAAGCTTGGGACAGTCCAAATGTACAACACTGTATATGGGTGTTTACAAAGATTAACCTATAAGCAATTGGGATTCAAGTTTATTGCCTACTGAACTTAGTCTATCTGATTTAAGATTGAGATTTAAAAGCCCAAACTACTTAGTTGAAACTTGCGAAATTAAGTAGTAGACGTATTGCTAACATATAGTGAATATATAGTAATAATAAAATAATTATATAGTTATTTTAAAACTAAAAAAATTAAGAGTAGTAGGCGTATTGCTAATATCTAGTAAAGAAAATTGTTACTACCAAGTAACTATATAGTTACCTTATAGTTGATTACTAGTATTAAAGTTGCAATTTGGCAGTTTTAGCAATATATACTTTTTTAGCAACACCCCATGTGTATGATATACTTATAATAAAAATATGACAATTTTATTCTTTTTGATTTTTAAAAAAAGGCATATGTTTTAATACTATTTTACATTATTTAACTTTTTTAATTTTTATAAAAAAAACTTAAAAAAAGTTTCATTAAATATAGAAATTTATATTTGGTGCAGAGTGCATTTTGGTATACCCAATAGCAAATAAATGCAAATAAGATAAAAGTTAGGGTTTGGATTAGAGTTAAAGATAATTAAGATAAATTATATAGAGAATATTTTTTATTAATTATATATCAGAAATTATTTTAGTAAAATTTTAAGATATTAAAGAGATATATCAAAATACAAAGTGTTTCTAAGTTTAGTTTAGTTTAATCTAGATTTAATTGAATCTGAATTGAACTTTAAAATTTTGCAAATTTTTAAATCTAAATTTAAACTAAACTTTAAATTTATAAATCTAACTAAATCTTTTTTTTCGATATCCCTTTACCCTCTTTTCTTTCGTTTTTGTATTCTTTTATTGTAGTCCCCTATACCTCTGTGTTTTTTTTTAGTTTGTTTGTTTTTTCTAATTTTGCTTCTTGATGAGCGGGTAGCCGCCAGCTGATGAACAACGGGAAAAAAGTCCTTAGTGAGTTAAGGACCCTG